GAAAAGACAGCGTAACAATGCCACAGAGAACATCAGCAGCTATCTTACTCTCTGTATTCAAATAAGCAAATAATTGGGTATTCTTTCCTGCATGATCTACAATGCCCCTTTAATTAAAGTCAGGCCTACATTTGGCAGGTAATCTGGATTCATCTGATTGTATTCAAATTTTAAAATACAAGAAATATTAAAACTATAATAAATATATTACTTTATGTTATAAATTCATTTTATTTTAGTTAAATTAAAATATGTATAATATAATATTTGATATTGAAAAATAATAATTATACTAAATTTAAAACAAACATTCAATTCTTAAAGCAAAAGAATTTAATTCTCAAAAAACAAATAATTAAACGATGTTATTTTTCTTTTTTAGTTAAATTGAAAATCATTAAATGTTTGAATTTCCGGTGTTAATCGGGCGTAGTTCATATTACGGACCGTCCCATTATTTGCGCAACCTACAACCGGATGTCTTGGTCACCAATATTACACCTGGAACGACTAAATATAAAATTTATAAGAACATTAATGGCAACCAAAATCGCCATCAGACGAAGAAAAATTAAATATCAGCAAATAAATTATATCAAAAGACCAAAAAAGAAAAAGGAAAAAAGACAAAGAACCTGTTCCAGAAAGGAGCTGTAGCCTCTGGGTCCCGCGGAATTTGCTCGTGTTTTTATTGTTATTATTTTTGTGTTCTAAATTTCGTATCGAAAATTTATTGGTATTTATAAATAGGAGGGATTAAGCAACTATGCCGGATACTCCATCGTCGCCAAAGAGCGGTGGTCGGTTGGTGTTAATGGAGAATCTGCTCGGACTTCTCCGTATTCGCGTCATTCGTGGTGTCAATCTTGCTGTTCGTGATGTTCGCAGCAGCGATCCTTATGTTGTCATCAAGATGGGAAAGCAAGTACGTGTTTCTCGTTGTTTCTTTCATGATCGATCACCTTCGTTTCTTGTTCGAATTCGAGGTTTTGTTTCTTTAGGTCGTTTAGAAATGTTGCTAGATCGTAAGAACCTGTTGAGTTATTGGTCATCTTCATCGTTTGCTGAACTGCGGAGTAATTGATTGATCTTTTTGGGATAATGGTCGTGTGAGTGGTGTGATTTGTGAGGAAGGGTTAACCATATGTAATGATTAGTAATTGGTTGAATTTGTGGCTAGATTGGTGGTTATTCGATATGACTTAGGAAAACGACGCGAATGTTTGGATTGTTTTTATGGACTTAAGTCTTAGAAACATACGAGGCTGCAATTATGGCGCACTCGAGGAGGAAGGATGGTTCGGCAACGGCCAAAAAAGTTTCGTTAAATTCTCCTGTAGGATTTCCAGAAATGAATATTTTGTGGACTGTGGTGGTGGACCGGAGCTGTTTTATGATACGAGTTTTATTCCGAAGTATGAGATGAATTAAATTCATGGTAGTTGAATTATTAACTCTAGGTTTTGTTACAATGTACGAACATCCTGAGAAATTGTTGTTACGGATTGTGATTTTTTAGGCAGGTCAATCAATTCCTCTGGTTCAATGAGCTATGGCGTTAGAACAATGAGAAAGTAGGAGATCTTAATATTAGATGTGAAATCTTGGTCGCCATCATAATTTGTTTCTTAGTTTTTATTTCTTATAAGGAAAGGAGAGAGATAGAATTAATTTTCATGTACAACTGCTGCTTAATTCTTTAGTTCCTGTGAAACTCTGAATTTAGAAATTGAAGACACGGGTGATAAAGAAGGATGTCAATCCTGTATGGAATGAAGATCTAACACTTTCTGTCAGTGACCCGAATATTCCCATTAAGCTGGTAATCTTTCTTTCTTTATTGTTTATTCTGTACGTTTTTATCAAATAAATAAAGCTCTCGTGTTTCCTTTATGGATGTGAAGTAATATCTGTTCAATTGTATGGTGGTACCATTTTCTTTTACCAATTTTTCCCTTTCTCTCTTGTCTCCTTCAAATACATCAATTATGAAAAAAATTTGTTGGTACTTGGAATTCATATACTTCTGGAATTGATATGTAGTGGTGATCCATGAACGCATATTTTCTCGGCCAAAATGATATCTATTTGGTATATGCTCTGCCATCAATCTGAAATGCTTTTTAAGTAATTTCCATGTGATATATACACCTACTGAGTTGTAGAGGTGATGAGTTCATACTGTTTACCAATTCGTAGCAATAGCTATTGCTAATCAAGTATAAGCCCTGTTGCCCTGTGGATTAGCTGTAAGTGATCCTCTTTAGTTTCGAATGTTGCCGTCCATGAACCCCATACTTTGGTAACTCCGAATTATATTTTGTCGTGATTACTTTTATATTGTCAACAAGGCAAACCACCGGAACATTATCTCCCACAATATTGAATACTAGTTTGGACTTTGAAAATTCTACTTCCAGAGTTTGTTGCATAAGGAGATATGGCTCGTCAATGATGATTTTTTTTTCTCATTCTTTTTTTTGTCAAGCTGTTTTAAAACTTTCTGTACAGTGTACAGTCCTAAACTGTAATGGCCCAAGCTCTTGTCTTATTTGGGCTTTCCTTTTCGGGCTTTCTCTCAAAGCCAGACACAAAGAGGTATGCCAGCGAGAACGCTAGGCCCCCAAGGGAGTGGATTGTGAGATCCCACATCGATTGGAGTGGAGAACGAAACATTCCTTATAAGGGTGTGGAAACCTCTCTCTAACAGACGCATTTTAAAACCTTGAAGGAAAGCTCGGAAGAAAAAGTTCAAAGAAGTGACAACCAATATATCCTAGCGGTGGACTTGAGTTGTTACATAAACTTATGAAGAGAACATAGTTAGTGACAACCAATATTCCTACTATATATTTGTGGCACATAATCTTAGCATCAAAGAAAGCTCGACTCTTTTGTTGTACTGTTTACGTTTGTGAATATGATGGACTGATAATGAAGGCTTCTAGAGAAGAATGAAAAAAAGGGTGAGGTCTATTTTATGAGTCAGTTGTCTTGGTGCAAATCAAAAATTAATTTCCCTAACTTTCTTTATCGTTATCATGTTTCTTTACATTGCATTTCTTTTCTAAATTCGTATTGAGCTGGTTTGCAGACTGTTTACGACCACGACAAATTTAGCAAGGATGATAAAATGGGATATGCTGAGTTTGATATCAAATCATTTATAGAAGCTCAAAAGATGAACTTGAAAAATCTTCCTAGTGGAACGACAATCTCACGAACGCTTCCGGGCAGGAACAACTGTTTTGCTGAAGAGAGCTGCGTCATCTGGAAAGACGGTAAAGTTATCCAAGATATATACCTTAGATTGAGAAGGGTCGAATGCGGAGAAGTCGAAATTCAGCTGCAGTGGATTGATCTTCCAAACCCCAAAGATTAAAACAAGATTTGGTTTATCAGCATCATCCTGTGATTTTACTTGATTGTAATATTTCTATCATTCTTATGATTTGAAGTACACAAATCAGTCTATATGAATCTTGATTGTATCATGGATGTAGTCTTATATGGATTCGTACACAAATCAGTCTATATGAATCTTGATTGTATCATGGAATGTAGTCTTATATGGATTCTCCATCTGCATTTATTTGCCAATACTATAATTTCATCCTAATTAAACCACTCGAGTTCTGATCGATCATATCTAGGGGTACATGGTCTAGGTTGAGTCGGGTTGGAGGATTTTTTTTTACCCAACTCAAGTTTGGGTTGGTTGGATTGGTAACCCAACCCAACCCGAAACTTTTCACAACCCAACCCTACCCTACCAGAATAAATTATTCAATAAGATTGTCTCTTAACTATTTATTTAGCAGATAGAAAGCTGAAGCTATCTTCTACTAAATTAATTGAATAAAATAATAAATAATTCGTTTTATTATTACTAAATATTTAAAGAATAAAATATTTTCATTTTAATTTTCAAAAAATGGGCCACACCTAAAGTAATGATAAGTGGGCCAACAAAGTACCCATCGGAGAAAGTTCGAGGCCCAGCCCAATTTGGGTTGATAATTCAGTTAAAACAAAATTAAAATTTAAATAAAATGGGAAAATAAAATAAAATTATAAATGATTTTATTTTTTACTCTGGGTTTTAAAAATAAAATAAAATAAAATAAAAAGTCAAATGGTAGAATGGATTAATTATAATTCTATGATCTGATCAGCTGAATTACATTTATCAAAATTAAAAGTTTTTACGAGAGAATTTAGGCATGCATGAAATTAGAAATGGGAGATTTTTGAAGGGAACAAAAGAATTTGATTGGTTAAAAGTGGTTTGATTTTAGGGTTTGGGAGTGGGGAATTTGGGGTCCATTAAACATTTGTATGCTTTGCTTTGTGTTTGGTCTTTGCTTAAGCTCCTCGCGTGCCCATCAACAGTGCTTCCACCACTCACTCACTCACTCACTCCCCTCTCTTTTAGCCCATTCCCCATTCTAACCCGCTCGAGTCTTCTTTGATATCGACAACTCAATTGACAAACTTTAACTAATTCCCAATCGTCTTTTTAATTTTATCCACTCTCATTTCATATCTGTATTAAAAAGAAGTTCTTCGTTTTTATACTTTAAATTTAATAAACATATCTATATTCGTCTGACTAGGTCATTAGGCCTTTAAGTATATGTGAGATCCAACCTCGGTTGGAGAAGGAAACTTGTTCTTAGCAAATATGTTTTAAAACTGTGAGGCCGATAACGATACATAACGAATTAAAGCGAACAATATTTATGAGGGGTGGGTTCCTTAAAGGTATGAAAACATTTCCCTAACAAGCACATTTTAAAATTGTGAGGCTAATGACGGCGGTACGGGGCTAAAACTAACCATATGTATTTTAAAATCATGAGATAATAGGTCAAGAGGCATAATATTTATTACCCTATATTTAAACCATAAATAGTATAAAATTAAGATAATTGAAATAATAATAATAATAATAATAATAATTGAAAGTTCCATAAAACGCTCCAAAACCAAAGCAAATCTGCCTTACAAACACTTTTCTCTCTCTCTCTCTAAACTGAAACAAGAAATTAGTTTTAAAAACACACGTGCTTTCCCATTCTTCTTCTTCTTCTTCATCCAACTTCCTCTGTTTTCCTCTGCATTTCATCCTCTGTTTTCCTCTGAATTTGAAGTTACTTAAAGATGATTACATTACTGGACTTCTACCATGTCATGACCGCCGTCGTCCCCCTCTACGTCGCCATGATCTTAGCTTACGGCTCCGTCAAATGGTGGAAGATCTTCACCCCCGATCAGTGCTCCGGTATCAACCGTTTCGTCGCCCTCTTCGCCGTTCCCCTTCTCTCCTTCCACTTCATAGCCTCCAATGATCCTTATACCATGAGCTTTCGCTTCATCGCCGCCGATACTCTCCAGAAAATCATGGTCCTCGTCGTCCTCGCCATCTGGACTAAGGTAATATCAAACTACCACCAATTTTTCCCAATGGGTTACAATGAATTTTAATGTAGAAATTTAAAATTTGAAGTTAATGGGTTTGGGAGAATTTAATTTCCTTGTTCTTTGATTCCTTTTTAACAGGTGAGCCGGCGGGGGTGCTTGGAATGGACAATTACTCTGTTTTCACTTTCAACTCTGCCCAACACTCTGGTTATGGGAATTCCTCTGCTCAAAGGAATGTACGGCGACTTTTCCGGCAGCTTAATGGTTCAAATTGTGGTTCTTCAATGCATAATTTGGTACACTTTAATGCTCTTCATGTTCGAATTCAGAGGAGCTAGGAATTTAATCTCCGAGCAATTTCCCGACACGGCGGCGTCCATTGTCTCCATTCACGTCGAATCCGACGTCGTTTCTCTCGACGGCCAGCAAGTATTGGAAACAGAGGCGGAGATAAAAGACGACGGAAAGCTCCATGTCACTGTCAGACGGTCCAACGCCTCTCGTTCTGATATTTTCTCCCGCCGGTCACAGGGGCTGTCGTCGACGACTCCCCGGCCATCCAATCTCACCAACGCCGAGATTTATTCGTTGCAGTCATCGAGAAATCCAACGCCAAGAGGCTCGAGTTTTAATCACACTGATTTTTACTCCATGCTTGGCACCGGTGGGGTGGCACCAGCCGTGTCGAGAGGGCCGACGCCACGGCCGTCGAATTATGAGGAGGAGAATCACGGCGGAGGAGGGAAAAGTGGGCCGAGATATTATTATCATGGGAATCCAGCGCCGCCGCATTACCCTGCTCCGAACATGGGAATGTTTTCACCGACGGGTTCAAGAAATAAGAGATCAACGGCGAACGGACAGGTCGGCCAGTACAAATCGGAGGATGGTAATAATAATAACAACAATAATAAAGATCTTCATATGTTTGTTTGGAGTTCAAGTGCTTCCCCTGTTTCTGATGTGTTTGGAGGCCATGATTATGGAGGTCCCCATGATCATAAAGAACTTAAATTGGCTGTCTCCCCCGGAAAAGGTTCGTTTTTTTTTCAAAATTTTCTCGGATTCTATACCAATTTTCAATCTCGCATTGGTGGAAAAAGAGGACGAAGCATTGTTTATAAGGGTAGGGTGTGGAAACCTCCTCCTAACAGACATGTTTTAGTTCAAAAAAGTCAATATTTGCTAGCAGTAGACATCAGTTGAGTAATGATTTAACGGGTCAGATGTTACAGGCGAGAGTGGGCCGAGACATAACGATAGAGAAGACGTGGAGCGAGAGGAGTTTAGCTTTGGAAACAGAGGGATGAACAGCAGCAACAATGGACATGAAATGGCGGCGGGAGAGAAAGGAGGGACCAGTGGAGTGTCAAAGACAATGCCACCGGCCAGTGTGATGACAAGGCTGATTCTTATAATGGTTTGGAGAAAGCTGATCAGAAACCCCAACACTTACTCTAGCTTGATTGGCCTCACTTGGTCCCTTGTTTCATTCAGGTACTTTTTTCATTAAAAACATCAAAACTTTGGGCTTGGTTGATGTGTTTTTTTGTTGTCTTTGTTAGGTGGCATGTTGAGATGCCTGCCATTGTAGCACAGTCCATCTCGATACTCTCCGACGCCGGGCTCGGCATGGCTATGTTTAGTCTCGGTACGGGATTCTTAAAACGTTCTACACTATATACAAGCGTTAACTCTGAATGATTCGAAAAAAGTTGGATTTTGTTAGGTTTGTTCATGGCTTTGCAACCAAGGATCATAGCATGTGGAAACTCCATAGCAACTTTTGCCATGGCTGTTAGATTCCTTGTAGGCCCAGCGGTAATGGCAGCTGCTTCCATTGCTGTTGGCCTCAAGGGCGTTCTCTTGCATGTTGCCATTGTTCAGGTCCTCTTTCGTTTCTCGTATTTCTACATTAACGTGATATCGCCAGTTTTAACTCTAAACCCGTCGCATAAATTTTCTTTTGAAACAGGCAGCTCTTCCTCAAGGGATTGTACCGTTTGTGTTTGCTAAAGAGTATAACGTACACCCAGATATTTTGAGCACTGCGTAAGTTCTATATCTGGAAATGAGATCAGTTCAAACTAAGACCATTTCGATTAACGTTTATAATCATTGTGTTGCAGAGTGATATTCGGGATGTTGATTGCACTACCGATAACGTTGGTGTACTACATTTTGTTGGGAGTTTGAAAGGTTTGTGTTTAAACACGAAGGATTGAAGAGTTCGTATATACGAGCAAAACAAATGGAGAAGAATCGGCGAGCATTAGACAAGAAGATAACGAAGATTATTAATCGAAGAATGGAAAATAACTAAGAGATTTGAGATTTTTTTTTTTCATGAAGTTGTATTTAATCATGTTTGTAGCCAAATTGTTTTACATAAACTTTTCTTTCCTTTTGTTTCCTTCTTTTTCGTCGTTGTCTTCTTGTTTTTTTCCGTTCAAGAGATCTCGTGTTGCAAATTTGAAAAAGATCGAGGATAACAGAATAAGTTTGTGTCCATCGTGTAAAACAACTCAAAACTTACTTTTTAGTGGGGCTTGTTAGACGAACACGACTCTCCACAATGGTATGATATTGTCTATTTTGAACATAAGCTCTCATAGCTTTGCTTTGGGCTTCCCAAAAGGCCTCATGCCAACGAAGAGTGTATTCTTAGATTATAAACCCATGACCATTCCCTAAATTAACCGATGTGGGACTTTCATCATCCAACAGGGCTATGATTTGTATTTTTTTATACTCAGATTTGGTACTGGCTGACCCTAACTATCTCCCGCACCACATCACCACGTTACCTACTTGTCCCGACTAACTTATAGAGTAAACACTATCCTTACAAACCAACACGAGCTTTTTGTTTACAGGAAGTCATTGCTCCAAGTCATGCACGATTAACTCCTCAGAGCAGAGGGCCCGATAGAATTTAATTTTTATATGGTCCTTTTCGGTATATTTAGGGGACCATTCTCATATTTCTAAAGGCTTTTTTTGTTTTTCTTCCAATTCCTTTTTACACTCTTTTTTAACCTTTTTTTTTTTTTTTTTTTCTTCTTCAATACTTATCATTCTTGGTTTGTGTTTGTACTTTCTACAACATTCCTAAACATTGTACATTTTTTTTTCTCTCGATCAATTATTTTTTATTTGAAAGGAACGTGTACGAGTGGTTTAGTGACGTTTGGGACCATCGAGAATGAAGCGTGATTGTCGATGTTAAAAGAGAAACACGTAAGAGAAACGAAAATGTATGGAAGTTTTATTGTCTAGTCGTGAATAGTAAATCTCGTTATTCTGTCAAATAGCACTCATTCAAAATATCATTCGTTAAGAGTAAAAAAACCCACCAAGAGTAAAAGCTTAAAGCAAGCTCGAGAGGCTGACCACCATAAGCAATAATCAAGATTGAGGCTCTTGGGGTCGACTTCCAAGAATAATATTATCATTCCCATATAGGTCAATCGACTATGACTTGAGCTCACCACATTCAATTAAAGATTTCATTTCAAAAGCCGTTCGACCAAATAACAATTTAGTCTTATGATTGTTTCTCATACTTAATATATTGCAAAGGGAATGAAGCATTCCTTATAAGAGTGTGGAAACTTCTCTCTAGTAGACACGTTTTAAAGCGGATAATATCTACTAGCAGTAGATTTGGGCTGTTATGCGGTCTCTCCCTCATTTATCTATGTCTATCTTGTAATTTGGTAGGTTGAAAAGACAACAAACACACGCGCGTTTGCTCATATATTCAAACAATTGAATAGACAAACCAATTGAATTGATATTCCACCATATTTGTCTTGTCAAAACATCAATAAGGGATAACTACAAATTTATTCTTTATGAACGAACACGATCACACTTCAAAATTAAAATACAAATCGGCTGATCAAATCTCAAGCGGTAGAACGATGGTGAATTAATATGAAACGAGAACTTTAGGACTTGTTCTATTTTAGATCGTATACTTTCTATTCAGTTCTAAACTTCTTAAATAAAGTTATTCCAAACATAAAACGAACCCACACAAACAAATGTTTATTAGAAAAGAGAGTGATGGATGGGTCAAGATGCCTCTCCATTGCATTTTATTAATTAAATTGGAATTTTAGAACCCTAATTCCTACGTTCTCTTATAAAGGAAAATAATATTAATAAATTTTATTTAAAAAAAAAAACAGTTGAGGATTCCATTTTTATGCATCTACAAATTTATCAACATTATAAAATATTATTTTTAAATATCGTAGTATAACATAAATTTCTCCAAACAAAATATGTTTAACTATGATGTTCCTATAATTAAGTTACCGAAAAAGGAAGGTGCACGGTATACGTAATAATTTTCATTTTCTGTAAGATCTTCTTAGTCATTCTATTCGCATGATCGCTCTCATTCGAATATGATCTCGATTCATTTATGTATCTCTTTTATATTTTTATTTGTATGGCTAATTAGAAATATATATTAAAAGTTTAGTTTAACTCAAAGAAAAGAAAAACTAATAATAAACAAATGAAATTGTAATCAAATAATGTTTTATGTTATAAAAATAAAAAGAAAAAAGAAAAAAAAGAAATTTGTAAAAATTAAAATATTATTTTAAAGTAAAGAGTAGGAAAAGGGAAGAGAGATTAAAATAGATTATCTTGAAGACAAAGGGGAAAAGGCTAAAACTAAATTATAATAATTAATTTAGAAACTAAATTTAAAAATAAATAAATAAATAAACAAATTTTTAATTATATTATATTTATTTATTTATTAAAAAAATATTTATTTATGCAGTGTGTGTTAGCAATGGGAAATTGGTTAAGTGTGCCTCCCACTAACTTTTGTTGGGTCGGCCGTTTGCTTGGCAATTCTATGTGCCTTTCTCATCACCTTCTCCTTTTCTATATATATATATATATATATATATATATATATATATATGTACTTTATAATTTATGACGTAAATTTTTAAAAATAATATCTTAAACTTTAAACAAAATCTAAAAAAATATTCTTAATAGTTATTTTTAGATAAAAAGGTTAATATATTTTTTTTTAAATACTCTTTTAAATTTTTAAAAAATTAAATAATGTAAGTACTTATTTGAAAAATACCCATAAATTCTTAAAAAGTAATATTAATTTAAAAGTGGTTTAATTGATTGAATAGATAATAAAACAGAGTCAGTCTCTTTGCCAATTTAAATATATAACCTTATTAAGTGAAAAGTGAGAGTGAAAGCCGATTGAATTTTTTATTTAAAAAATTTTCAAATCTTTTTTTTTATAGAAAATACTAATTTTTGAAACTAAATATTTTTTTTTCCCTATATTTTCATACTTATTAAAGCCATCATGAATATAAAATATTTTAAAGGGAAGATTGGGAATAAATGAATACAAAATGTATGGAAAATGAAATGTAAAGTATATAAATCTTTTTAGTATTATATTAAGAAATAAAATCTTTAAGAAAAAGGAAAAGGTGATGATTGTGTGAATGAGATTCATTTTGATCCATTGATCACTTTTTTAGTATATTAAATTCAGATGTTTGTTTGAGCACTTAGAAAGTTGTATCATATCCTTTACCATCATTCCATCACATAAAAAGCTGTGCCACGAGTTACCATTATTTTAATTAGTCGAGTTTTTTTTTTTTTTAATGGATAAAGACAGATAATATTTAATAGCGATATGGTATAAGAGTCAAGTACCAAGCAGTGTGGTAGCGACAATGTTGTACCCCAATTCAGATGGGCTTCACAAATTTTGCATTATTATTTTTTTTTGATAAGACACGTGAAAATATAATATTTAAATAATTATAAAAAAAAAAGAAAGTAATATTTAAATAAAATAAAATAATTTAGATAATGATAATAATTCAGAGATATTTCTAGGACGAATGTATATGCCTTTCAGCTACATGCCATTTATAATCCATCCAACAGAATAGAGTTTGGGCACTCAAGAAGTTGTCTAATTACATTATTATTTTTAAGTTTTTTTTTTTTTTCTCTAAATTATTTTGATGATAATAAAAATTCAGGCCGCCTTTTCTTAATTTAAAATAAAATTAAATGAAGGGTAGTTTCGTCCGAATACAATATTAAAATTTTAAAAAGATATAGATATTTATTTTTCAAATTGAACTAAAAATTAATCATTTATGTCATCGGCCCAAACAAGGCCCATAGAATGCCTACTTTATAGGCCTATTTATTCACTCTAAGCCCATGGGCTTTTATAACTGATCTGCAGGTTATTGGGCTTTCGCGTTTGATACTTAAACAAAGAGCTTGGGCCCATTTTTTAACAATTTTATTTTTATTCTTGAAATTTACTTTTTAAAAAGGTTATTAATTTTTTTTTTTTTTTTTTACTTTTAAAAGTATTTTTATAAAATAATAAAAATAATAGTTGACATAATTCAACGATATATAAAAGTGGTGGAGATTTAAATTCTTAGTCCAAATTAGACATTTAAATCATTTTTATGCCTAATAATAATATATTGTTGATAAAGTTAATTAAAATATTATTTAATAAATAAATAAAATTTGAGCGTTGACTCATTTGTCGTTTTCGTTGAGAAACTTTTTTCATATCTATTATTTATTTCAATGGAAAAATGTTTTTTTCTTTTTAATATTTAAATAAACTAAAATATGAAGTTACCAAAAGAATATTTCATGCACGGTTGCATTTATAGTCGTTAGGTGCATCATGCAAAGGAACGAACATAAAAGAAATTAAATAATAAAATTCGATAATTATTGAAGGCAATTATTTCTTTAATAATATAATATTTTAATTAATTGAGTTATATTATGTTATTCATAAGTCAAAAAATTAATTAATAAAAATGCACTTTAAAATAAATTTAATTATTTTGTATATTTTTTTCATACAATTTAACATACAAAAAGTACGAGCGATCAACTCGAGTATAATGATCGAGCATGAAAATACAGATCATCACTATTGGCCTCTCGATCACTCTCGCGAAAAAGGAACAATATTAATGTCTTATTATATTTTTTTAAAATTTTAAAATTATTAAGACCTTATATTGAATGATGGAAGCTGAGAATAGTAAAATAATAAGTGGTATCATATCAAATTTGATTGTAACGCTACAAGATAAAGGTGCAAATAAAATTATTTTGGCGAGGACTAAACTAAATTTTAATTTTAATAAAAGAATATTTTTGAAAATAAAAAGAAATAATAAGAAATAAATTAGTTAAAATCTAACCACCCACGAAAATGATTTATTTATTATTATTATTATTTAATAACTCTTGTAATGATTATAAATGTAATAGTGACATTACAACGACCAGATTGGAATTATTAAGGAAAAAAATAAACCATAATGGGAGAATCCCAACTTTAATCTTAGGCTTCATTATTGTTCTTATAATTTATTAAAACACTGTTTATAAAATCTTAATTATAGCTTTAAATTATAATTTCATTACAAAAGAAAGCAAACGACACGTCAACGACGTGAGTGGATCCCACGTCCACGTGGCTATCAGCTATTTGTTGCACTGTCAACTCAATTTTGGCCACCCCACTTTTTTTTTCTTTTTTCTTTTTTCTTCCTCTCTTCTGAATTCTCGACTTAATGTCACTCGGAATCACTCTTTGTTTTTTCTTAGAAAAAAAAAAAGTCAAATAATTAGATTTTGATTTGGGAGATTCTTTTCCATTAAAAAATGGATATGGTAAAGATTCTCAACCATCCAACTTGATTCGAGCATGATTTATATATATTTAAAAAATGATCGCAGGTAGTGATACATTAAACTCAAGAACTTGAATCGAAAATTAGGTACATTTCGAGTTGAGTTGTGTTGTGTTTTAAGACCCGATTTGATTCGGGTTAGTTTTGGGTTCAGTTGCAAAGAGCTGGGTCAACCCAACACGCACTGACCTAACGAAAGGCAAAAGCTCACTTATGTACACTCTCCACTCCAAACCCAAGTTGATAGGCGGTTTTCTAGGCTTTTTTCTTGCAGTTTGACGGTACTCCTCATAGTCGCGTAAAGCCATCAATGCACGCCACATGCATCATAAGCTATAAGCTAAAAGAAGATGGAAATTTTAACCTTGGAAGTATATATATATAATAAATCATTTATTAAAAAGGGCAACTAAATTGCTCGAAGAAAACGGGAATCTCGCCCTCATCTCATAATCGTCCCCTCACATCCCAAAGGGCCATTTGAAATCAAACTATTTATTTATTTATTTATTTATTTATTAGTTGAGTTAAAAGACAATAAGCTTGGTATAATATTTAGTTATATATAAACCAAAATTATAATACAAAATTTATTTTAATTTTGTGCACCAGAAGAAATTAAAGAAAAATAATAATTACAAAACTTAAAAAAAATCAGATATATTAAGAGGCTTATCTTCCTTGCTTTTTATATGTGAATATACGATTAGATACTTTTCAAAACCTTTTCTCCATCCACAATTTTCTCCTTTATTTATTTTTAAAAATTATTATAAAATTGAAGGGTGGGACCCATCTGGTAAAGGGATTGATCGCTTCCGTCCGTAGCCAGTGGCACCCACGTCTCCTTTCATCTTTCTTTTTCATTTAACTGTTTTTTTTATTTATATTATCAAATTTTGCATTTTCCCAAAAAATAAAACTGACAAAACTGTTTTTTTAAAAATTAATTAATTAATTAATAATGAAGCAACTATTTTTCTTTTATCCTATGATTTTTTTAAATAACCAAAAAAATCCTATACACATAATATATATTAAATACTTTTTTTAAAAAAAATACTTAATTTTAGTAGTCAACAACAAAATAATTAAAAATGATACCTTTTCTTTTGATTCATCATTTTTGTAAATTTGAGATATTACCATTCATCTAGCCTCACAGCTTTAAAACGCCACCCATTAGTAGGATCTCAATGCACCCCAGCCTCACGGTTCTAAAACGTCACTCCTCTATGGCATCTCAGAGTCCACCTTCCATCGCTAATAAATATTGTTCGTTTTATCTCATTATGAATCGTTGTCAGTCTCATAGTTTTAAATCGCATCTATTGGGAATCAATACCAATGTGTGATATCACATTAGGTCGATAATTTGTGAAACTTTTAGATAAGAAATTAAAAATTCAAATGGATTGTTTTTAAAGTTAGAAAGGGAAATATTAAAAAATTAAATATTTTTCATTTCATTAAAGAAGTGTGAAACATAATATTTGGTAATTCAAAATGTGAACATAATTTTTAATTTCTATGATCTTCCATATATAGATATAGAGTGAGATGGGTTGGAGTATGAGCGGAGTGGGCTGGGACCGATTGGGGCAGAAAATATCAGCTGCCTACTCATCTACGAGAATTTCATATTTGTACAATACGGGTAATTGGTAATTGTAATTTTTTTGCTTTTTTGATATGTGTGATTAGGAGATTGGATTTCAGACATGGGTTTGTATGGGTGCGGTGGGGATAGAAATGGCCATCTTCCTCTATAAAAAGCTGCATGAATTGCAATCCTAATGTCTTACCATTTCAACTCAAAGCCATTACTGAAATCTCCTGCCCTGCGGTTTGAATGGCTACTCCAGCTACCAATGGTGTTGAATTTTTGTTCATTTTGTACCAATGGCGATCCAGTGAAATTAATTGTAGCTTTCTTTTGCAGGCGAAGAGCGATTGATTCAGAAGAAGTATTGGATGGAACATTCAGCCGGACTTACGTTGGAAGGCATGCTGCTCGATTCCAACGCTTCCGATCTCGATAAAGAAGAAAGGCCTGAAGTAAGTGATTGAGATAATCAATTGCATTTGCTCGATTTTAGTAGTTTCATTTCGGTGATTACGATTTCGATTTCGATTTGATTCGAGAAATTTGCAGGTGCTCTCTCTGCTTCCGCCGCACGAAGGAAAATCGGTGCTGGAACTTGGAGCCGGCATTGGCCGTTTCACAGGCGATTTGGCGGAGAAGGCCGGCCAGGTTATTGCTCTGGACTTCATCGAGGGCGTGATCAAGAAGGTAATCGATACTCGGATTTAATTCTGTTTCTAGCCGGAAGCGTTTGTGAACTTGATTTGGACTCAATTTCTTGCCCTACTTTTTGTTTGTTTGTTCGTTCGTACGGTTGGTAATGGCTATTGCTTTATGCAGAATGAAAGCATTAATGGACACCATAAAAACGTCAAGTTCATGTGCGCTGATGTAACTTCTCCAGAGCTCAAAGTTTCTGAAAATTCAGTCGATTTAATCTTCTCGAATTGGCTGCTCATGTATTTATCTGATAAAGAGGTTTATTTACTTACTCATCTGTTTCGTCAACCTACCTAATTCCAAATAACTTCCGTCTTAATCAACTGAAACTTTCCTTTATTGGTCATGATCTTCTGCATTTCTTTTTACTCCGATATTTTTGTACTAAATTATGAATATTACCTTCTAACTTTATCCATTGATTTAAAACTACCTTTATTTTTTAAAACAATTTGTAATATTATGATCCTTTCAAAGTTACTTAGAAATTTATTAGAATCGAGGTGATGATCATATGAAACAACTTGGTGGTGTAACTAAGATGTTTTTCTAGATTAAACTTGAAATAATCGAAAGAACAATAATAGTTTAGAATTAATGTATGAAGTTGTTGAATAATTGCAGGTGAAGAATCTGGCAGAAAGAATGGTAAAATGGTTGAAAGTTGGGGGTTATATTTTCTTTAGGGAGTCCTGTTTCCATCAATCCGGGGACTGTAAACGAAAATACAACCCCACCCACTACCGAGAACCAAGATTCTACACGAAGGTACAGCCAAAAAAAGTACCCGCAAAATTTAAGTGATTATTTACTCCTTACTATAGCTTGATAGTGAAATTGATGATGCACTTTATCCAATTTGAGGTGAAATTTGATTTGTTTCCAAGAAATTATAAACATCTTTTGATTTCTTGAATTTGGGGTTAATCTGAACCTGCGGGGGCAGGTGTTCAAGGAATGCCATATGCAAGATGAAGGTGGAGATTGCTATGAGCTCTCCCTCGTTGGCTACAAATGTATCGGAGCTTACGCCAGGAACAAGAAGAATCAGAATCAGGTTCTAAATCATCTCTATTTTGTTTCTTCATTTGCCAATTCGCAAGCCTTGAACCAGAAGAATCAAATCTGTTTGTGGGTTTTTCAGATCTGCTGGATATGGCAGAAGCAGAAGAGTTCCAACGACGATCGAGGATTCCAGCGCTTCCTAGACACAGTTCAGTACAAGTGCAGCGGTATTCTCCGCTACGAGCGCGTCTTCGGACCAGGCTTCGTTAGCACCGGCGGGATCGGTAAGAGCTAAATTAATCATTTCATATGCTTGTTGGGAGTTTTTGAACGAGAAACAGCCATTAATGACATGGGTTTGAGAATCAAATCTATTTGAACAGAGACGACGAAAGAATTTGTAGGGAAACTGGACCTTAAACCAGGGCAGAGGGTTCTGGATGTTGGCTGTGGAATTGGGGGAGGAGACTTTTACATGGCGGAGAATTTCGATGTCGAGGTCGTCGGAATAGACCTCTCCATTAACATGATATCTCTTGCTTTAGAACGTGCTATTGGACTCAAATGCGCTGTTGAATTTGAAGTGGCCGATTGTACCAAGAAAGTTTACCCAGACAACGCATTTGATGTTATTTACAGCAGAGACACCATTTTACATATTCAAGTAATTCCGATCTCTTTCTCTCTGCTTTTAAATCTGTGTTCTTGAGAAAAGGGAAATGAAAGTGCGAAGGGGGTGTATGTTTTTTGTTTGTTCCAGGACAAACCAGCGCTGTTTAGGTCATTTTACAAATGGGTGAAGCCTGGGGGAAAGATTCTGATAACTGATTACTGCAAAAGTAGTGGCGCTCCTTCCCCTGCGTTTGCAGAGTACATCAAGCAGAGAGGATATGATTTGCACGACGTCAAATCTTACGGCCAGATGCTTGAGGAAGCTGGTTTCAAGGACGTGGTAGCCGAGGACCGAACCGATCAGGTATTTGCATCTATCTATCAAATCTCCAATTTGATATCCCCTTCGTCTTGAATGTAATGAATAATTACCTGGAATTGTTGAAATTTGTGATGGGTTTCTTGTTCTTGCAGTTCATGAGTGTTCTTCAAAGGGAACTGGACGCTGTTGAAAAAGAAAAGGATGCATTCATCCATGATTTCTCCGAGGTGGGTTTCTTCTTCTTCTTCTTCTTCTTCTTCTTTTTCGTGTTTTTAATTTGTTATTTTGTTTTTATTTTTGTGGGCGAAAAATGCAGGAAGATTATAATGATATTGTTGGAGGGTGGAAGGCAAAGTTGGAGAGGTGTTGGTGTGGTGAGCAGAAATGGGGATTGTTCATTGCTCATAAACCCAAATGAGCAGCAGCTGCCTTTATTATTGTAATTACTTTGTTATTCGGCAACTCTTGTCTATTCCTTGAGTGGATTGGGATTAAACGTTAATAAATGTTTTATCCACTCATTTATTAAGGAAAATAGTAATAAAAATAATCAAATATTGTCCTACTTGATGTCTACATTGTTTTATGTCATTTAAATCTATCAATTCGAGAGGAAAAGGAAACATTTTTTTTATAAAACTGTGTGTCAGAAGAAATTCGAGCAAAAAGGTTGGAGTAGGGCTAGAACCTCTCCATAGTATACCTGTTTTAAAAACTTTGAGAGAAAGTCCGAAAGGAAAAACCTATCTATAGTAGATACGTTTTAAAAACCTTAAAGAGAAGTGTAAAAGGGAAAGATTGGACCGTGCGAGACACTAATTGGAATAGGGCTATACCTCTCCATAGTAGACGCATTTTTAAAATCTCGAGGGGAAGTCCGAAAGGGAAAGCTTGGAGGATGCGAGACACTAGATGAAGTAAGGCTAGACTCTCTCCATAGTAAACACACTTTAAAAATCTTGAGGAGAAACAGAAAGGAAAAGCTCAAAGAAAGAATTGTTACAGGGAGCGAAATATTAGACTTTAAAGCATCAACAAACAATGACTATTTTATGTAGATATGACTTACTCTTACTCAGCTTGAATTATGCCTCTCTTGCTGATTTTGTGACTACATGATATTATGGATTTAGTTGGTTCATCTTGATATATTTATAATTATTTTTTTATTATTTATTCGCGGATTAATTTTTAAAATTAAAACTTTAAATTTTAAAATATATACTAAAATTAAACTAATGTTTGAAAATAAATAAATATTTTACCAAAAAAATATATTAAATAAATGGTATAAATGAGCCCAAATCCAATAGGCAAAATTTAAAAAATACCAACGTATGAAAGTTTGGTGCACAATTAATTTGATTGTGACAGTAAAATTATTAAAATGTAAATAATTATTATTTGTAATAATAATAATAAATTCAATTATTCAGATTTTGCTTCATGTTATTAAAATTTAAAAAATCGATGTGTTTTAATTGGGAGTAAATGCCGACATCAATTGACAATAAATACCAAGTACAAAGCATTTAAAATATTAGGGAAAATGTACCGCATGTGTTTTTATTACATTAATTATTATTTTGGAACTATGTTTTCTTATATTTTCTATAATATTAAATATAATTTTTGTCATATTTAAGTCAAGTTTGAATAATAATGGTTTATATTTCTGCATTTTTTTTTTTTTTGTCTATTTTTTAAAATTATATATATATATTCATTAAAAAAGTCTTTAAAATGATAGAAAAAAAAAAATCTTCACGAAGAACTCAATCTTAGTCTAGAATCTCTTTGAAGGACGTTTCAGTTTTCACTTAGATTAAGATTGAAACAGGTAATGGAGACAGACGAAGAAAGGAAAGATCCGTCTTTCAGTTTGAAGCATCCATGCCCAATAAACATCGGTAAGTCTTAGATGTCATATAATTTATATAATATTATACTAAAAATGGAGGGTAAATGTAACAGCCCAACCCCACCACTAACACCATTCTAGCTGGTTACGTGCTCGTTAGCCTCACTATTTTAAAATGCATCTATACTCTACTCCAACTAGTGTCTCGCACCGTCAAGTGACTAAACCTGATATCATTGTTATAACAGTCCAAGCTCATCGTTAGCAATATATTGTCAATTATGATTAATTACTTATAACCGTCAGCCTCACAATTTTAAAATCATGTTTAAGAAAAAGTTTTTAGGTTTTTAAAATTATTGAAATAATTATTATAGTTCATTTTCGCTCTTGAGCCATTACGGACACAGATGGTGGAATCCATTTGCAGCAAATAAAACACAAACAACTCCTTTTTTTCGTTTCTCGACGTTGAAAGTTTAATAATTGTGCGATATTTTCATTAACGTCGATATTTGAACATTTCCACGAAGATCCATACTTAAAATTTGAAGCGAAAAACAAAAACATATATCAAGAACACCTCTCATCTCTTCCATTCCTATAATGGTAACAAAATAAGTCAACAAAATCAGTTTTTGAGAGGAAGAAACTCAAAGAACTTGATACAAGTGGGAGAAAATGTGGACATCGAGCTCTTCGTCATGTTCGAATCCAGCCGATCGTCTTGTCGTTTCTCCCTCTCGTTCTTGCTCTCGTATTTGCAGTACTTCATGCTGCTCAGAGGAAACAACTGGAGTGTCGTCGTCTCAGATTCCTCGTCCTCATTCTCGTCATCGTTAACGATATTGTATCGTCTTGGATCGTTGCGGGGTTCGATGACACTGTCTAGATGTCGGGTGTTCCTTGTAAGGTTTATGAGTTGACAATTCACTGTATCATTATTCCATGTTCCATCTCTTCTTCTTTCTTCTTCTTCTTCTTCTTCTTCTTCTTCTTCCAATTCTACTACTTTTGTTGTTCTTTGGACTTTTGCACATTCCTGCATGTGGAAGAATCTATTCTCAGTCTTTATCCCTTGGATAATATAAATGTCTTCATAACGTGTCTAGACAACGATTAGTGGATATTAATACGAGTTTTTGACGTGATTATGGATAGGCTACAGGGTCTTGCACTTTGATGCTCGAGAATACCACATCAAAGTGATGGGATTCGTACCTATGACCCTTTATACTCAAAATAGATGCATTGACCATATTGCTCCACGTCTTATCTCATCTCGTCCATCCAATCCATGAACACTCGAACCAAACTCATCTATCCTTTTAGGTATAGGGACGCACCTCCAGCGAACTTGACCATAATTTTTAGTATCTCAAAAATACTATTACAATCCGCTTACACAACGGCCAAAACCCACTAGAAAATATGGTAATTTTTGAGTTTTTCCTCGAGGTTTTTAAAACATTTCTACTAGGGAGAAGAGATCTCACAATCTGCCTCCTTCAGAGTCGAGTGTTCTCACTAGCACTCGTTTCTTTCTCCAATCAATGTGAGACCTCATAGCTTATCTATTAAGAAAGTCAAATCTTTTAAGAACGACGCAAGTATCGTTTTTCGAATAAAAGATTCGACATCGAATCGTATGATAAAATCACAAACTCAAGGAATAAAATCAAAACCCATTTGAATGGCATTAAAAGTATGAAGAACAAAGAGAAGAAGGAAGGGAGGGTGAAGAAAAAGAAAAGAATTGGAGAAATCAGTGTCAGAGAGTATTGTACAACCCTTTTGTATTTGTATAGAAACCATAAAAGCGGAAGGGGTTTTGTGAAGAAGTAAAAGGGCATAAGGACATGAATGGATATGTTATGAGCACAAACCCCAAAGATTTCTCAGCCCCGGCAGAAGGGAAGAAATGCAGCAGCTTTTGGGCCCCCCGCCCCCCACCCCGTTTCATTTCCCAACATATCCATTTCCATTGACAGAACTAAAAGATGCAAACTTTTTGTGTTCTAAGTTTAATCAAAACCCTAACAACATGTTTTTTTTTTGAGATATTCATGTCTCATGCAGCTTAATCCTATATCTAAAGAGTTTTTGTGTTTAAAGGTTTATGATTCCATCTGGGTTTTCAAAAATATGAAATGGGTTTGGTTTATTTTTTTTTTTTATTTTGTTTTAGTTTTTTTATGTATAAAGACAATGAGTTGAGCCTTGATTAAGAAGATGCGACTTTATAGTATACTTTGTTCTAGGGAAAGATTCTTGGGAGGGAACCACACATTGATTAATTTAGGGAATGATCATAAATTTATAAATAAGAAATACATCTAATTGATATTAGGTGTTTTGTGAGAGCCCAAAAGAAAAGTCATCACAGCTTATACTCAAAGTAAACAATATCATAACATTATGGTGATTTGTGATTCCTCTCATCGTATCAGAGTCGTGCCCTCTTCAAGTGTCGAACAAATGGTGTACTTTGTTCGAGGACCGTAAATAAAGAGTCGAGGCTCGATTAAAGGAAGGTTATTCGAGGTCTCTACCGACTTCAGATCAAGATTGTTAGGGTCTTTTGGGGAAGTCGAGGATAATCAGTGAATACTCTAATTTGATATTATTATACCATTATGTAGATCATAACTGAGTTTTTGTGTTAAAAGGTTTATAATTCCATATGGGTTTTCAAAAATATGAAATGGGTTTGGTTTATTTTTTGATTTTGATTTGGGTTTTTGGATGTAAAGGAGAGAGAGAGAGAGAGACCTGTGAAAGTGTGGCATTACTGCAGAGGTTAGAGGGTGGTGGAGTTGGCCGAGGCCGGTTCGTCTTTGTCTGTTGAATTTCGTACCCTTTTACTGTCTCTGTGTTGACAAAATCCAAGACAAAAAGAATTCAACTTTCTTTTTTTTTTTTTTCTCCAAATGGCAATCACAAAAACACAAAATTAATGCCTTTCTTTTAAAAAAAATAATAATAAAAAAAAAAAACCTGAATATTTGTGTTCTTCAGCGGCTGTTTGACGGCGTCGTTTTTGCCGCTCTCTAGCCTTATGATTTTGAAACCAATAGAAGACGTTTTTGCCTTCAATTTTGCCGAAGCGGCGGAGCTGGGCGGTGATATGTTGGATTTGGTCGGCGGACGGCGTTCGTGTCCCCCGCCGGTAAAGCTCCTCCAAAATTCTCAACTGCTCCGGCGTTGGATTCCACCTTGATGAGCTTACCATTACCGGTGGAGAAGATAACCCACTAACATCATTATTCAACAACTCTCTCTTGCTTTGATCATTCAAAAGATTAGCTGCAACTCAAACAAACAAACAAAAAAATTTAAGTTCATAGAGTACGATATATTTCTCCTTCCATTATCTCTAGAGTATAAAACTCGAAAAGTGGATAGCCCTAATAACTCATTCGTTATCCGTCACTCATAATCATTCGGAATCTATCAACTCAAACTATCAATATCTTTTAGTAATGATATTACATCATCGACCAAAGGGTTAGAGATTCGACTCCTCACCCGTTAACGTATATAGACGAAAGATGCATACCTAGATGGTAATATTGTGAAGGGAGGTTGGCAGCATTGAGGCGAAGAGAAGGCAAGGGGCGAGGGACAAGAGGGCGAAGCTTGCGGCCGCCATGAAAGGGCTGAGAGAAGCAAAATTCTGCACCATTATCGTCATGTCCCAAAGTCCACATTTTGAAGAAACCCTTTGAGGAAAACA